CCAGGAAGGCCTGGGAGCTGTCACATGGCGTCCCTAAGGACCCCTGCATGTTGCGGGTCCTCTGGGCGTCTGGGGGGCGGCACGCACCGGCTCCTCAGGCGTAGTGTCTGGCCTGCAGGACCAGCACGCGGATGAGCGAGGCGTGAGGAGGTTCCAGCTGAAGATCTCGGAGCTGAACTCGGTGATCCGGAAGCTGGAAGACAGAAACGCCCTCCTGGCCGACGAGAGGGCCGAGCTGGTAAACCTGCCTGGGGAGGAGGGGCCCATGTGGGAGGTGGTTCCGGGCTGCAGCCTTCTGCGCTGTCTTCCTGATGGCTCCCCCATTTAAAACCGGCCACAGCCCCTTCTGTCTGCGGGACCTTACCCCGCACAAGCATGACCGGCTCAGTGGGGAGCGGAGAGGAGGCGGCCGGCAGGCCCCTGGGGCGCGTTGGCCGAGGACACCGGGCTGCTCTCCAGCTGAGGCTGACGGTGGAGGCCCGCGGACAACGCCGACGGCCGTGACTTGCAGGAAGACAGGCAAACGCTCTTCGTCTGGACCCTGGGCGGCGTGCTCTTAGGGGGGTGGGCATGGGGGTTCTTGGCTTCCGCTCATTTCCCCTCTCAGAGAACATGACCGCTGTTTACCACGGGCCTGGGTTTCTGTTAGAACAGATCTGTGGGAGAAACTGTGGCCCCTGGGATCTGGTTCGGGACACAGGGCTGGCTCTCTCTGTGCACTGGGGCGTCCTGTGGCCCACAGCCTCTGCTTGTGCTGCAGCTGAAGCGGAACCGGGAGACGGAGGTCCAGCTGAAGCCCCTGGTGGAGAAGAACAAGCGGCTGAGCAAGAGGAACGAGGACCTGCAGCACAGCGTCCAGCGCCTGGAGGAGAAGGTCCAGACCCTCACGCGGGAGAACGCGGAGATGGTGAGGACTGGGACCCCACGGGACCCCGCGGGATGGCCACGGGACCCTGCTGGACACCCATAGCACCCCCTCATGGGGCCCCACAGGAGCCTGCAGGATGCCTGCTGGACCTCACAGCATGCCACAAGACGCCCAGGGGACCCCTCGGTACCCCTCAGGACCCCTGCCGGACCTCACCACACGCCACAGAACCCCACAGGAAGCCCATGGGATGCCCACAGGGCCCCACAGGACCCCACAGGGTGACCACAGCGGGGGTGCATGTAACTCGTTGCTACCTTAAGGGCCCTTCTGCCCCCGGGCCCCCTCCCGCCTCTCCAGTCTTGTCTCAGCTGTTCTGTCATCCTGTCCCCCGAATGCCCATCTATCCTCCCACCTTGGGTTCAGGGTCTGCTTGAAGCCTCCACCCCTCCCTGCCTTCACCCTCTCCCCCTGTCCCTGAGCCCGCACCCAGGGTGCTGATCCCCGGCAGGCTGGGTGGAGCCACAGGCAGTACTCCTGATGCCCCTCCCCCGCCGCAGAAGGAGAAGCTGTCAGCCCAGGCCTCGCTGAAGCGCCACACATCCCTGAACGACCTCAGCCTGACTCGGGACGAGCAGGAGATTGAGTTCCTGCGGCTGCAGGTGCTGGAGCAGCAGCACGTCATCGACGACCTGTGTCTGGTGCGTGTGTGCCGACGGGCGCGGGACCACGGTCTGAGCCAGCAAGGAGCTGGGACAGGTCATCAGAGGCCTGCCCTCCAGGATTGCTTCCCCCATGCCAGCCACCCCAAGCCCTCCTTAGATGAATTTCCGGGTCCAGGCAAACATCCTTTCATCTCCCCCTCAGGGCCAGCCACAAAGAGGAGGCGTCAGTGTTCACGTGGGACTTGTGGCCTACCCAGAGTGGCCATGATCTGTCCCTGAGACGCCACGGTCTAGTAGCTTAGTCGGTGTGGAGACAGCAAGCTGGAGCCTGACACCCCGAGTCTTGGTTTATAATCAGGGTTCACAGGGCTGGTTAAGAAAGCGTGTGCACATCCGTGTGTGCACATGTGCATCCATGTGTGCGTGTGCATGTGTGCATATGTGTGTGTGTGTGCGCCACACCTGCCTAGGCGGTGGATGTGGTTCTGCAGAGTGAACATGACTCATGAAGACCATTCACAGCTCTCCATGGAGACCAGTCAGGGGCCCTGCCATGAGCTCTGAAGTTGGATCTTCAAAGAAGAGTGTGTCTGCTTGTTCACGGAAGCACCATCCTTCTGTCTGTTCATCTGTCCCTACCCACCTACTCAGCCATCATCCATCCATCCATCTACTATCTCTCCAACATACATCATCCACCCACCCACCCATCCATTTATGGACCCATCATCTGTTCATCCACCCACCCACCCAGTCACCCATGCGTCCACTCACCTCACTATTCTTCATTCATCTGCAACCGTCCATCCGCTCCATCATCATCCATCCATCCCTCCCTCCATCCATCTATCCTTCCCTCCATCCATCCATCC